CAGATGCTACCCCTTCTTCAAGTTCCAGCAAACTTTTCTCCTTTCCTGGCCTTTCAACCATTTCACAGGCACATCCCATATTCTGTCACTGTGATGCACAATGACAGCTCTTTTGCAGGGTTATATTCTAAAGTCAGCAGTAAGGCAAACGACTGGGGATGGTCATTGGTAATCCCAGAAAATGACATCGCAGTGTGCATGTATAAATGATTAATGAATACGACAGCAATGATGAACATAATGTATATGTTGACTAAGAACAATTTTACATTTTAATTACATAGAATGACTCTCAGCCAGCAAACTCATCACAGGAAATGAGACCCTTGAGGAAAAAGCAGGTATATTTGTGGAGTCGAATGGTAGGCAGAAACACCTGCACTACTCAATGTATAATCTTTCTCTCCCCCTTGTTTATATAATTGGTTATAACCTCTTTTTGTAAGTAATTGTATATAGTTGAAATGGGGAAGTGATCTATGGGACTCCCCTATAACCTGTGTCAGAAGGGTCTGTAGAGCAGTCAGACAGCCCCATCTGCTGATACTCAAATGCCCTCCCACTTCCCTGATGACCAGCCAGCAATATAGCTTTTGTGTGTGTGTGTGTGTGGGAGACAGCCTTTGAAATCTAAAGCCATACAGCTTCTGGTCTAATACCTTTACTGCAAGCTCAGAATACTTTCCTAGTATCATTGTTATTATATAATGTTTTCGAATTCTGTCCTGAGCAAGTCCTGTCCTTCTCACAATGTTGAAGGCTTTTTGGAAAAAAAAAAAAATACAGTCTACTATTAAGAAGCATTTGGAGTGCAGAAGAAAAAAAAAAGGAAAAATAACAGAAAAAAATAGTAATTAGACTCTACCTTGGTGCATATACCTCAACTCCAACCCCAGGTTCCAGCATGCCACTGAACATCAATATGACAATAAAATAAAGAAAACCTCAGGGAAAAAGTTGGCCTATATACTTGCTAATAACTGTGATAGCTACGTAAATGAACCTTTGGGTATTGCTCTCTTATTAGAAATAGGCATTTCTCTTACATAGCAATTTACACTGTAAATTTCAGAGGCATGGAATAAAGCTTTTTAGTACAATCCACAGTGGACATGGAAAGGCTGGAGGGAAGGATGTTTTTATAATGCCAAAAATAGTTACTGCGAAATGGACTGTAAGGGCTCTGGGATATGAAGTGCGGGGTGCCTACAGTAATCTCTTCAGCACTGCAAAGGCGCTCCAAATCCTTATTCTCCTATCCTAAAGAGAAAAGATTCTCCTTACCCTAAAGTCAACATGCAATTTATGATCCCGGCAGATGGGGCAGGGATTCCCAGCAACTTTATTCCCACGCTGTGGAGAGAAAAAAACAGCAGTTACAGATGTTCAAAGCCGTGTCAGAAAAAGTTCAGTGGTACTGCTGCTGTGGCCTCCACCCGCACTCCACATCCCGCCCTCATAAACTCACAATACACATCTTTCGAGTGCGCTGTGGCTGTATGCCGCCCTTGTGGTTGCGGCGGTAGTCGGCCCAGACAGGGCGGGAACCATAGCGGCTCCGGTATTCTGCAATGAAAAACCTCACAAGGTTACTCCTGGGTGGAAGTATAGGGGGTAGCTCTGTCCACTTACCTCAAACCCTACATGACCTTCCCCTTCCCCATTTAGAGTTACCTTCTGATTCCAGGTATTTCCAGGGTTCATCTGCATAAGGGGAAATGGGAACTGGGGGCAAAGAATCTTTCTCAGCTGGGGCTTCAGTGCAGAGACTCCGAAGGGGAACCTATAAGGAAGGGAAAACAATGAAAGAATGAGTTCAAGAAAAGGACTCAATTCTTTTTTTTTTCTTTTCTGAGACAGAGTCTCACTCTCTTGCCTGGGCTAGAGTGCCGTGGCGTCAGCCTAGCTCACAGCAACCTCAAACTCCTGGGCTCAAGCGATCCTCCTGCCTCAGCCTCCCAAGTAGCTGGGACTACAGGCATGCGCCACCATGCCCGGCTAATTTTTTCTATTTTTAGTTGTTTGGCTAATTTCTTTCTACTTATAGTAGAGACAGGGTCGCTCTTGCTCAGGCTGGTCTCGAACTCCTGAGCTCAAGCAATCCTCCTGCCTCGGCCTCCCAGAGTGCTAGGATTACAGGTGTGAGCCACTGCACCCGGCCTCAATTCTTTTGCTTATCACAATTTGCACAGAGGGAGAATGTATGCCCGTTGTGTTAATGGAATATAACAGGAATATATACAAAGTATTTCTGTTGGGGTTAAATCGATGTAAATCAACAACCACTCTCTCTATTTCCAACTGGATTCTGAAAGAGAAGCTAATGTTACAGGATAACTAGGCTAGATGACTGGGAAGCAATTTTATTTGAGAAGACAATTAAAAAACCTGGTACATGGAAGGAATTTGTGCTTTCTGGATATGAACTGAGTCTGGTGGAAGGAGAAAGGAAAGGGAGGATGTCTAGCTTCTGGGACGTTAAGATGTGTGGTGGGAGGGAATGCATAGAGTGAGTATCCAAATCAATCCAATCCCCAGTCACTAAGTTGCCCGGTTTTATAAAAAGCTAAAGGTCATCATTCCACAAGGCAAAACAAAACTTGAGTCCTAACGCTAGCTTTAAAGTCACCAGAGCTGTTATTAACTCTGCGGCGACCTGTTACCACTCTTCAGTCCCACTTTAGGGAGTGGCAGCTGGGCAAGCCTTCCTATCTCGCCCTGTCCCACCAAGAACCTCCAGTGGTAAGTACTCGAGGCTAGAGGGTAACCTCAATCTGAAGGACTGAGTTAAGCTCTCGTAACTCCAGTAAGAAAGTGATTTAGTAAGGTAAAGAGAGCTGAGAAACTGGTTCCCAGGTCGTGAGAATGCATCCTGATTTTACTGGGAGATGGCAGGGCTATTAGAAATTAGGGTTTCTCAAACCAAGGACACCCCAGATTTAGACACCACCTACATAGTTAAGAGCGGGATGTGTATGACCAAGGAGTCAATTCCATCACGTAGCTAATTTGCTGAGATGGTAATCTGTGAAAAGGATGACACCTAACCCTGGTTCTTAGCTCTCAGCAAAGAATTAGAAAATGCGCACAGTATGGGGTGGGGAGGTGTTCAGGAAGTAAAGTGTTGCCCAGACAGCCAAGACATAAGCACCTGGGAAGATCTCGGCTCCTGGACTACTGGCAGTGGGATGACGACCTAGGGAAGGTATAACTAACTTGGGGTTGTGCAGAATGTCCTTCAAGGAGTTACCTGAACTCCGTAGGCACTTCCGAAGGGCGAAAGGACAGGAAGCCGCCTGAGCAGAGTGTTTACCGCGCAGGCCGCCATCTTGAGACGTGCACCCAGCGCAGGAATGGCCGGAAAGGTGACTGCGCATGCTCCATGAAATTGACTAAGGTAGGGCCGAGGACAAGCCTGCAGTGCGGGAGGCGGCCCCGCGTTTGCGTCAGGACGGAAGCATGGGAGGGGGGCCGTGGGTAGAAGCTAATTTTAACTGCGTCACAATCAAGTTAGGCCTCAAAATTGCGTTTTTCCTGGACCAGTCGCTACGACTCTTAGATCCCATATTTAGAGCTTGCCTTTTACTCAATTTTGAAGGCGATTTTGACCGGGATCCATCCAGTGCGCATGCGCTGGCACTTTTCTACCAACCCGGGGTGAGAACCGTTCTCGAGGGCGGAAGTGGTGGAAGCAGAGAAAAAGGAGGTGCCAGGCTTTCTGGTCACGCGCTCACGACGCGGCGGGGCAGGAAGGAGGCGGAAGTGGGAGCCGGAGGAAGGGACCGAGCGAAGGCGAAAGATTGGTAGCCAATCAGCTGCCGAATTGTCTTTCGGGTTGACCAATGAGCTCACGCCTCGCGCACAACGTCTCGCGACAGGGGCGTTTCACTAGCACGTTTGGGCGCGTTGGGCGGCGTCCGAGTATAAAAGACTCCACCCGAGCCGGCAGCCGCCATTCTGGGGTTCGTTTAGAGGTAAGTTTGGGGATGTTGTCGTGTAAAGGGCAAAACTTTGCGGAGAGCGTTGGACCGGGAAGCGTTAGACGGGTGGGTTCGGTTGAGAGCCTCGGCTTGTATAAAGCGGCTGTGACATGGAGTTGTGTTTAGGGACAACAAAAGTGGTATTTCTGGGTGTTTTAAAGCAGCCTGTACTGATTACATCTTTCTCCCTTGTGTTCCTTTTATCCCAGGTTTGAATTTTCTCGGAGAAAGACAGGCCGGCCACGAGGAAAACAGAAACAAGCCGCAGCAACATCTAAGCCCTTGAAAGGATCCTGAGAGGGGGGAAAGGGAAATCAGCAGCCACCAGCCCAACCACTTGTGTCTTCTGCCCCTTCCCACCTGTCTTGCCCACCCCACCAGCCCACGCTGCTTGGGACTTGAAATCTGTGGCCGAAGGACCGTCACCACATAACTTCAAAAATAATCAACCACCCTCCCTTCCCAAACCCACGCAAATTCACTTATCCAGCGTTTACTTTTTTTAATCCACTCAGAATTTTTTTTCTTCGACCCCCCTCCCTAAATGGAGTTGGGTGGGGGGGGTAATGAATACTGAGTTGGCCTTTATTTTTTAAGAGACTTTTTGATCCAATGAGGCCCCCCAAATAATTGAATTTTGGGTCCTGGTTGGTTGTTTTTTTTTCCTCCAAAATTTTACCCCCTCCCCCCTGAGCCCGAGGTGCTGACGTCGCAAAAATATTGGATAGTAAGTGTCGAATTTTCAAAAACCAGCCTTGCAACAAGAAATCAACGTTTCCCGTTGTGAAACCAAAAGTAGTGAGAGGAAGAAATGAGACCATAGAACAAATATAGAACTGGAGAAGGACCGATCCGGTCACTTAAATCTCCATTAAAAAGGGCCTATGGGTCTAAACAGTCTTGTTCTCTCTCCCCTACCACCTGTCCCTGTCCTGCTGAGCAGGCAAGGAGAGGGTGGAGGGAGGGCCAGCAAATGAGGATTTTGACGGTTAACCCTTGGTAATCCAGACAATTTCCAGACTGCCAAAGCCATAAGTGTTTGCTTTTTATAAGGAGGAACGGTTGCCTTCCTCTGATTAGCAGCAGTCTTCAAAAGGGTTAATGAGCTCACATACAAAAGATGGTGGATCTTGTGGCCCAGAAGTCCCACTTCTTTGTGTGTGAGACAAGCAGGGCGCCTTTCAATTTGCTAGATAAATAAGCAATCTGTACATAAAGATTGCAGGGTAAGGAGATGGGCAGAGAGAAATGGTAGCTGGCTATGACTTTTTAAATGATTGTTAAATACTCTCAATTTTAATGTAATTTGCTTGGGGTATATTTGTGTGTTAAAATAGGTGGCAATCTAGGAATAAAGATTGCAAGACACTTAATTTAGGGCAAAATATAATCTTAGGATCAGTACATACAAAATAGTTGCGGAGGTAAAGAATGTCTTGTAATTGTTGCAGATTGCATAGGTTATTTAAAAGCAAAAAAGTGATTAACATTTTAACTTGATATTTTTGGGTGGGGGATACAGTTAAATAGAGGTGGGAAAGGTTGGGAAATGTGGAATTCAGGAGTATAATTTTTAAAAGCCATTTAGTGCAATTGAATGCTAGCTTTCTAAAAGATTTGTGTCGTTAAAAGGAATTTTTTTCTTCCCTGCTTCAATATGGCGACGTTCCTTGTCCTTTTGTCTTCCAAGCGGCGTTGCAGGTTGTGTCTTGACCCATTTTTCTCCTGTCCTCCCACCTCAACCCTATTTGTTGAGAGGGGTCCAAGTCCTCCCCCTTTTCCTCTGTAGGGAGAACGGGGGTGGTCGATGGTAGCAGGTTGAACCTCAATTGCAAATTCAATTCTTCCCCTCAGAAAATTGTTCTTTTTAATATTTTAATTGCTTTAATTTTCTCTACGCTCTTAACTGATCAAAATTGATCAAAGATTATTCAGGATGGGGGGTTGGCTTTTGTTTTTTTGCTAAAAAGGTGTTTTATGATGTAGCCGAAGCTACCGGCAGAGCCGGGTGCCTTTTTAAAGTTTGAGTCCTCTTCTCCATTACAAAATGGCGTCCCTGCTTCTTTGTTGTTTTTCTTCCCCTTTTGCCATCCAGAGCTTAGGGCCGCCCTAGAAACTTGGTCAAGGGGGAGGAGCAGCATTGAAAGGTGATGTAATCAGCTTTCTTCCTCCACACTCCACCCTCTTGAAACTCCACCCCTGAGCAGATGCCTTCTGGATTCCCTGTGCTCCTTGCTGCTAGGGAGAAGAACAGGAGAAGACATTTTCCTTACTTTCTTTAGATACAATCTTTTAAAGCCTTTGTCTTGAAGGGATAAAAGTTTATAGGAATTAGGTATTGAGGCTGTCCATCTCCTTGGGTAGCTCTTGTTTTTATATTTAACAATCAGCCCGTTGCTTTTATTTTCCCTTCACTTCATCACAACTGCTTGGAAGTTTTCCCTACTTTGGTTGCCAGAGTTGAAAAAACGCAGTTCTCAACTATAAGACTGGGAGGCTTTTGGGGGAGTGTGTGTGTGTGAGCCTGTGTGTACATATATATGTGTGTAGGGGAAAATGGGTAAGACACAAGGGCTTACGCGAGTAACTTGGAGACAAATGGGGCCTAATGACACTGAAATGTGCCATTTTTGTTCAGGACCCAGTCCTTGGGCCTCCTGCATTTGATTGCTTTGTGGGGGAAGGTGGGTACTTTAGGACTTTCTTCTAAATCGCCCTTATTCCCACTTCTCGGTTTTGGGGTAAACTCTTTGTATTCAGTGCTGTATCACGTTCTCCACTTGCTTAGTTCCTGTACATTGGTACTAGGATGAAAAGTGAATCTTTAGGAAAGGAGGCGGCAGTTGTAAACTCAAGGCAGGGGGAATCAAGCTACGGTTTCTGGTAAGCAAAACCTTTCTGGTATTACATTTCACAACCTTCATTTCTTTTTTCCAAAGAGCCACCTATTTTGAATTTCTTTTTCCTTCCCTTCTAAAAGAAATTCCTTAAAAGCATTAATGAAAAAAATGTCCTCTTCATTTTTCAAGTCGTGGAGTGCTGTGGCAATTGGTGCATGTTCAAAAGCCATGCCCTATCTGAGGGTGGTATTGGGTATCCGGTTCTTATCTTTCTTCCCCCAGCTTTTTCAAAGTCAAATCTTTATTGGACTTTACATATACTTTTTATTTTTTTAAAAGCCCTGCGTTGAAGTATGGAGATTATAGGCAGAATTGGAAAGCCATTTTGTACAATTGTCCTGTGGTAATTTGGGTGAGACTTAGGGCTAATTTTCTACTGGCTGTGCATTCTCAATACTTAACAGATTGGATGGGAGGGACTCTTCCACATGTCTATTGACCACAAGTTCTTTGGTTTTGTTTTTTTTTTTTTTTTTTAATCTTTTAAGCTGTTTGCCATGTGCCTCTACAGCATACCTTCCTTGGGAGCTGAACATTCTACCCTCTGGAGTTCCCGATCTCTAGTGAGCAGGGATTAATAAAGAAGATCTTCCTTAACATGGGAGATGGGAAACAAGGCCTTACTAGGGAAACCAAATCCATCCAGAGAAGCTCAGAGAACCTGATCTTTGTAATTTGCGGCCAGAGTTCTATTCTGGGATCTTTTCCTATGGGTGGGGATGGTGTGAGATTTTGTGTCCTTATTGAAAGGCAAATCAGCTTTTGGGAGGTGATGTACCAGGCTTTCAAAATGACTTTGAGTGGTAGGGGCTTACTACTTAGAAGAATGATAATGACCTTATGATTCACCTGAGAGACATAATTCAGTCCACTATTGAGTCCTACTAGGGAATGCCCAAACACTGAGGAAAGGAAGGGGAATGTAAGATGTTAGGTATAAAGCAGAAATTGCCAGAAATTCTAAGGCCTCTAAGGTAAACTTGGAACGCCTTTCTCCTTTTGTCAGAAAATAGTTGCAATCATTTTCTTTTTAAAAGGGCTCTGGCTTATTAGAATTTTTGTCCTGAACCAATTTGATCCTGTTTCATTGATGATGGATATGGAATAACTAGGCATGCTGGGTATTTTTTCACCCTGTTTAATTGAATAACAAGTAAAATTCACTTTGGAGGCAGGAGTCAGTGTCCTTTGCAGACTTTCAATTTTATCTCTGGTAAGAACAGTAGAAAATTCCCCAGTGCCTTGTGCCAGGAGTGCATGGCTCTGCTCAACATCCTCCATAAGGAAAGCATAGTTTAGGACAAGGTGGAGGTAGGCCAGAGGGCTGCTTTCCCCCAACCCCCACTTTCTGTATGTTCTGCCTTCAGGGAAATTAACAGCTCATTAAAAGAAAACAATCTGGATTATTTGTGCTTCCAGGAGGCTTACTCAAGCTTTCATTCCAGGCTCCAGATCGTGAGTGGGTAATGTTGTGACACTTGGTCACTGCCCCTCTCTTCTCTGGTCAACTCAATTGCCTTGTCCACTGTAGGTCTGTGCCAGGAATGTTAAGCTCTTCATTCCTTTCCACCTGAGTGCCTTGGAACTTCTTTCTTTCGAAGTGTACTGGTTTCAAAGTAAGGAAACTAGGTTGTAAGACACTTTGGGTCCTCAATTTTAAATGAGTAAAAAACTAATCTGCCTGGAGGAAAGCCATCATGAGGAAATCCACTTATATTTTATCACATGATTGGTGCTCATGAGACAAAATTACAATTACAGTTCCAAAATTTAGTAGTGGAAAGTGGATATTTAACATTTCTTTTGCTTTGTCTCCTAGCTTCCCCTGACTATTGTTTTATTCTTGTTTATACAAATGGGAATTAAAAAGTCCCTGGGTTCCATTCCCAGCAGAGGGTACTGGACAGAATTTAGCTTTGTGCTCATTGGTCCATTTTTCTAAGCCTGGTTATTCTCTTACTTGTCTCCTGTTCTCTTAGTGAAGGAACATTTGAGCTCAGGTGATAGTTTTTTGAGTTTCTGAAAGAAGTAGGGGTAGCAAGCCTATTGGCTTAGCTTGTAATCGGATATGCAAAAGGGAGTTCTCCAACGTTATATATATTCAGTTCTGGATTTGAATCAGCTGTGTTAGGGGGACAGGTTTGAAGGGATGTTTAACTCAAGGCTTTTTGTCAAATTGCATATATTTTCCTTTGGTATCTAGTAGATGTGTGTGTCTGTGTGTATATATGTAGATAATTTTTTAGATTTCTTAAGCTCTTGTTACTTACGATATGTATTTGGACCCATTCATTGCTTTTCCAGTCTCCAGCACGTGGGAAATCTGTTTTATTTATCCCTTTAACGTATCTAAATGTATCACTTTATAGTGTCCCACTACATGGGAAGGGTTCCTTTATCCCTGTGTGTGTCTCTGTGTGTAAGAATCACCACACTTTGGATTTGGCCCACGGACTTCTAATCTGTTCCTGTATTCTGCTTGAATGTTTTTTCTTCTGACCTCAGATTACTTGTCCTCGTGGAGGTTCCAGGGCAGCAGCAACGGCACGGTTGACCTAGATTTGCTCACTTCTCAGCATTTCTTGCCTCATCTCTCCCTGTGTTCAGCCCACAGGTTGTGATGTCTAGAACCAAGATTGTGCTGCGGCTCCTTTCATCTGCTTCTGCCTGCCTAGATTGTTGGGACCTACAAATTTAGAAATTCATTGATCCTTTTGTTGGGAGGACTAAAACATTGAGATTGTTATGTTTGTGTTTCTAATTTGCATTATAAGAAACCTGTTTTCTGCCCAAAATACAGTCATCTTTGTAAAATACTAGTTTTTCCACCCTTCTGCTGGGATTGTGTCTGTTGTCTGTGCACTAGATGTAGGACTCAGGAGGCTGTTTTTGCCTCACCTCCTTTCTACTCCTGCTAGCCGTGTTTCCCAAGTGCAGACTTGCCAAGGTGGCTTGCTTTTTTGATTCTCAGAAGCCAGTGTTCAGAGGCAGTGTGGATAAAAGTCCCAGTCAGAACCATATTGATCCTAAATTACCTCTCTAGAACTTTCGTTCTGGCCTAGAAATTGCTGTACACTTCTTTTTCCCTTCCGTAAAAGGGAGTTTAGCTTTTAATTGACTCCTTTTCCAAGCTGGTCTAAAGTAGCTGCTTAAAATTTAATGGAATTTTCCCAGCTTCTAGCTTTATTTGTTCTGTTTTTGTTGGTTCCATGGTTTTTAGTTTCTGGCTTTTCTTGGGATCTTAGACAGTGTCATTTTTTGAAGGGAGTAGGGGGTCAGATTTTCATCTTTGCTTTTGAAACCACAAACCAAGGTTTCCTTTAGCTTTGCAGCAATAAAAACTTGTGTGGTGTTTGATTCATGAGTGACACTCTGTTCAAGATTTAGGAGGATCTGCTTGATTTCCTTTGCATCCATTCGCCTCCATTTCTGGGAGCTACCCACTCCTCCCCAGATCCTTTAGGGGAAGGGGTTCTGTTTTCAGGTTTTGTTTTCTTTTATCCTATACAATTTCAGCTGATACATATCCTGCCACTTCTGGTGATTATGACTCTTTGTGGACTGAGATACAAAGGGCTCAACCTCTTTCAATACGGTTAGCCCAAGATTTGCCCACTTCTTATCCACTTGCAGGCTTATCTTCAAGCCAAATTTATCAGCAACTAGGAAGCAAAAATGCCTTGAAGAGTTGAGCTTGTCATGGGAACTTGGAATCTCAGCTCTCATACAATCTAGTGGCATTCAACTTTCCTAGAAAGGATGTAGCTGGGAGGGAGGGACGGGTGTGCTGTCCCAGTCCTCCAGTCTGATTGTCTTCCCATTCAGTCATGTATTCACCCTTGCCAGGGCTACTTTCTTAGTACTGACAATAGTCTGTGTTGATTTTTCTGATCTGGAAAATGGTGTAGTTGTATAATTAGTCACTGTATTTTATCAAATACAGGGATGGGTATACTAGGACTGTCCTTGCCACCCATTCATTCTGTGGGTTTGTTTGTTTTGTCCTCTCATCTTAGAAACCACAGTCATGGGTTCGGGTCCCATAGACCCCAAAGAGCTTCTTAAAGGCCTGGATAGCTTCCTTAACCGAGATGGGGAAGTCAAGAGTGTAGATGGGATTTCCAAGATCTTCAGGTGAGTCTGTACTCTCCTTTGCATTTATTGTGAGTAGAGGATATTGTGTTGTAATAAGGCTGCAGTAGAGGCAGACAGGAATGATCCTGGGGAGGAAACAGAGAGTCAGTAGAATAGGATTCGAATCCAGTAATTTTAGGATAAGCAAAAGGAAAAGATGACCCCTTGCTTGCAGGCCATAATGGAGGCTAGAGATTTGGACATCCACAGTCCCAAGAGAGTCACACTTTGGAATGAGAGCAGGGGAGCCTGGTGACAGAATTTTGGTTCTGTTTTAGTTCTTGTCCTGCTTACCCAAAATGTTATTTTCCTTCAGGAATCCTCAACTTTTCCAGGGAAAAGCAAATCACTAAGCCAATCTTAAACAGACTACTAAGGAATAGTTGTTGATGGCTAGCTGCTTCACCTGTAGGTAGACTGAAATGTATCCTGTGTGTTAGTGAAACAGTGATGCTCCCCTCCCCAGATCAGAGACTTAGTATCTCCTTAGTTGTCTTCTGTTCTCCCATGGGTTTTCATGTCACTCTGGATCCTTCCCATCCTAGAGGCATGTGTGACTCCCGTACTCTGGAGCAAAGTCCCAAGTCATCAGGGATCTAGACATTCCACAGATTAGAGGTGCTTTTGCTAAAAGATAAGACTCTGGCTGATCCATTTCTAACCCTGACTCATTTCCTACAGTCTGATGAAGGAAGCACGAAAGATGGTGAGTCGATGCACTTACTTGAACATTCTCCTGCAGACCCGTTCACCAGAAATACTGGTCAAGTAAGTGGGGGGTCTCGGTGGTTGGAATGGGGAGATGTAGTTAGAAGATGGGGGAGGGGAGGGGAGGGATGGGTTCCTGGGTTCTTAATGGGGGACTAGGAGTATGGGATGTGGTACTTTCAAAACCCAGGAAGGGCATTACAGATTTGCCTGCCTGCCTGTAGGTTTATTGACGTTGGTGGTTACAAACTTCTTAACAATTGGCTGACATATTCAAAGACAACCAACAACATTCCCCTCCTCCAGCAAATTCTGCTGACCCTGCAGCACCTACCGCTCACTGTGGACCATCTCAAGCAGGTACTATCAGTCTTTACAACCCTGATTCTTCCTTTTTGGATTAACCTAAAAAATTTTCACTGACTCCATTGTGGCTGCAGTCTTGGGCCTGTGAGGTAGAATGGTTTAAAAAAAAAAAAGAAATTTGAAATCCAGAAGACTTGGTTTGAACTTATTTCCTTTAGTTAGGTTTGTGGCTTGGGGCACTTCATATATCTGAGCCTCAGTTTTTTCATCTATATAATGGGAATAATTAATTGTACCTACCTAACTGGGTTATTCTAAGGATTAAGTAAGACTGTGTCTACAAAGTTTTTGTGAAAGGTTAACTGTTAGTCTCTGGGACTATTAAGAGATTAGGAGGGAGTTTGTGGGGTGGTTAGCTCCGAGTGGGCTTAATCACCTCCTGACATTGACCTTTCTGCTGCTCCCATCTCTCGTAGAACAACACAGCCAAACTGGTGAAGCAACTGAGCAAGTCCGGTGAGGATGAAGGTAGGGTTGTCAGTCCTTCCTCTCTGTCACGGGCTTCTCTCCATTCTTTCCACTGAATTACCTTTATTTCTCTCCCATCCTTGGATCGTCCCTTCAGTCTTTTCTTCCTGTTTCCACTTCACCTTGCTTTTCTTTTTCTTTTAAATATTTAGTTCCTCTAACTTGTCCCCTGTTCCCTGTTCTCAGTTCCAAATGGTGTTAAAGTAATGTCCCATACTTTAACCAGAAGCTGATTCTTAAATCACTTGGTATAAAAGGAATACACTTAAATTCTTTGGGGGACATAGTTATCATCCTAGAGTGTCTTGTCGTCATTTACTTCTGTTTTTCTAAATCAATACAGCATATTCTGGGACCTTTAATATCTGTTTTCCTAACAATAGATTTAGTAGTTCCGTCAATAAACATATTCCTGTAGGCCATGCACAAAATCCTGGCTCTTGGAGCATATTATAACTTTGATAGCAACAGAGTCTTTCCTTTTCCAAGACAAAGAGTTTTGGAACTGGTAAGGACCATACAGGACAAAGCCTGGCTCCTTTATAGATTCTTTCCTTTATCTCTACCCAAGGCATAAGCCAGGAGCACGGGACTCTAGTTTCTCACCAAGTGAGCAGTGTTCTATCGGAGCTGATAAAGATACAGGATTGCTCTTGTCTAAAAGGAATTGTTTGCTAGGTTCTTTGGTGAAAGGCTTTGGTCCGCTTGTTGAGGGAGCATGTAAGCTTGGATAGCCGTCTGAGGTTCTTTAGCTATAGGAGAAATCACTGGAAACACCTCTCCATGATAAAGGATCCCAATTTTATCTTAACTCATAGGATTGTTTTAGTGAAAAAAAATCCTCTAGCTTTTCATCCTTTTAATCGTATTCTCAGTTTTTTGGTCCTTTTAGATCTGAGCATTTTACTATTTTTGTGATCTCTCAGAGTATCTTTAGTAATCATTTGTAGTACAGCATATAGCAGGGGATCTCATGAAATCATTGCCCATGTTTTATTTCTTTACTATTGGGTATGTTGTTCCCTACTTCCAACTGGCTTGATTGTGCTGCCCTCTTTGGATATGGATTTAATTGCTTTAATTCCTTTAGATATTGAAATTTATATATTTATAAATATATATATATTTTTTTATATTCCTAACTATAGTTAATTCTCATTGGACCATAGTATCAGTTGCTCCCAAAAGGTTTTAGGATATTCCTGCGTTGGGGATGCATTGAGGTTCATGTTATCTTAGGTGCAGAAATTGCCAATTGTGTGACTATTTTGAAAAGTTAAGTTTTAATGTTCTATGACAATCTTATTATTGAATGATTAGTTAGTTATTAAGTGAGTCTATAAGTGGAAATGTTGACGAGGAGAGACGTGTCATAGATAAGAGGTCATTTGCCAAGTACAAAATGAAAGGGCTACAAAGGTATTTTTTTCATGTATTTAGAAACAAATTCTATTCTCGTTTTCGTGTCTGTAAAGGGAGTTTAAAAATCTTCAGGCTGTTGTAATAATTGCATGAATTATATATAAATCCACGTACCTTGTAATAAATGTTAGTCTGTCTGCTCCCTAATGTGATGGCAGCGGAGTTGCAAATTACCTGAGTAGAAGACAACTCTTCTATTCGTTGTTCCAATTTTTTAACAGTTTGGTTTTTAAGATAGGTTTTTAAGCCTATCTCATGTTCCTAAAACTCTGGGTTATTTTTTTTATTGCACTGATTTTTACAGTATTTCTTCAAACCTCCCATTGTCTGTTATGTGAAGCATGATATTTTAAACTTATTTAAAGGTTTACCCTTTTTCCCCACCTACAGAGCTCCGGAAATTGGCCTCAGTCCTGGTTAGCGACTGGATGGCTGTCATCCGCTCCCAGAGCAGTACCCAGCCTGCTGGTAAGCTCCTTAGTCCTTCATCCCTTGTATTTCTTTCTTTCCTGCTGGGCTGTGGCCTTCAGGTGCTCCTAGTCTCCTTCACCTCTGGCAGTCTTCCATTTTAAATAAAATCCATCCTTCCTTCCTTCCTTGCCTTCCTTCCTTTCTTTTTCTTGCCTTCTTTCTTTCTCTCTTCTTTCTTTCTTATTTATTTATTTAAGAGACAGGGTCTCCCCCGCTGTTGCTCAGGCTGGTCTTGAACTCCCGACCTCAAGCAATCCTCCCGCCTCAGCCTCCCAGAGTGCTGGGATTGCAGGTGTGAGCCACCGCGCCCGGCCAAAATCCTTTTTCTGCTTTGTTTTTCCACAACAGAGAAAGATAAGAAGAAACGTAAAGAAGAGGGAAAGAGTCGAACCACCCCTCCAGAGCGACCTTTGACTGAAGTAAAGGCTGAGACCCGGTCTGAGGAGGCCCCAGAGAAGAAAAAGGAGAAGCCCAAGTCTCTTCGAACCACAGCACCCAGTCACGCCAAGTTCCGTTCCACTGGTAAGGCTGTGGGCTGGCCTCGGGAGAGTCAGTAGCCACATGCACACCCAGAGCCTTATGGTGGCATAGTTTGATGTGTGATATGTTAAAGCTGTGGAAGAAGCTTTGGGTGGGTTATACAAGGAATGTTTGTGGGTGGGAACGGGGAGGGAAATTCGAGGGGGTGAGAGTATGAGTTCACCTGCCCACACCATGTCTCGTTCCTCAGGACTAGAGCTGGAGACACCATCTTTGGTGCCCGTGAAGAAGAATGCCAGCACAGTGGTGGTTTCTGACAAGTACAACCTCAAACCTATTCCCCTCAAGCGTCAGAGGTAGGGACCACAGTCCAGGTTTCTGAGTGGGGTACTTCTGTGGACATGAGGGAGAAAGGGGTGAGTCAGAGATACTGTTAACAGTTCCTCTCTCACAGCTCTGCAGCTGCTCCAGGGGATGCTGCACTCCCTGCAGAGAAGAAATACAAGCCACTCAACACAACACCCAACGCCACCAAAGAAATCAAAGTGAAGATCATCCCGCCACAGCGTGAGTCTAAAGTGGGGGAACCTGCTTTTTTTTTTTTGAGACAGAGTCTTGCTCTGTTGCCCAGGCTAGAGTGCAGTGGTGTCAGCCTAGCTCACAGCAACCTCAGACTCCTGGGCTCAAGCAATCCTTCTGCCTCAGCCTCCCAAGTAGCTGGGACTACAGGCATGCAC